CACCTCTTGTCTTATGTTTACTTGTTACGTGGCGAATAATCTTGGCAGAAGTACTCGGTATTCAATACATTTGATGAAGTTTGTGTGGAAAACTGAAAGAATTGTTAGTCTATCACATTTCATCAGGTTTCATGCAGGTACTTCACATTAAGAAATCAACAGGGGCGTTTCTAAAAGTAGCTGATTTGGTCAAGATCGCAATGCTTATCAGTGTTTCATAAACGATACCTGGAAAGAAAGAAACATTCTTTGCTGAAAAATGTATATCCTCTTACCCACGATTTAATTTTTTTACCTCTTCTTGACTAATTTACTCGGATAGGGACGAACAAGTGGAGGTTCCGTCTCCTGCAGGGTTAGGGGTAGGAGACGTTTATTCCCACGCACGAGATTACTGTGTGATCGGATGTCCTCCCCTGGGGTGGGATGAGTTGGTTTACTGGGCCCGCTGAAATTGGTGCAAGCTGTTGCGGTGTCCCTGCCTGTCGGCGAATCTAATAAGAGAAATAAAAATAAAATAAAAAGAGGTCTTGCCACGCGCGTAGGGACGTTTAATTGCTAATGATTTCAAAACATGCCATTGGTAAAATAAATACAGTCGCTACCAGACACTGCCGGCTGGTAAGATGCTTTTCCCGTTAACGTAATGACGTGAATCTTGTTTTTTCTTCCATTTAATTATTTTTTCCCAAGATGTTTGCCTACAATACATCTTGGAAATAGTAATTAAAATATATTCTCAACGGTCTCAACAGACTAAAAAATCTGAAAAGAACAAATGTTAACCATTAAATTTTAATGACACCCAAAAGGTCAATATTTTCTAGCTCACGAATTATTTTCCGACATCCAATGCAATGTCTGAAGTTGACTTGGTGGTCAGTCTTAGCAGCTGGGTCCAGTATTCATTACATTCGCGAAAAATGGTAACGTATCATCCAACATGGCGTGACTGCGATTAAGGCGAATTAGATGAATTTTTTGTGCAAAACTGATTGAAAAGTTAGTCTATTACATGTGTTGTTTTAAGACGGTTAAGGGTGCGCTCCTTTCGAAAGGTGAATGAAACTTCGACGCACATAGGACAACTGCGTGATTACAGCTAATAATGGTCGTGCCACAAGCATCGGGACGTCTAATTATTC